CCCGCAACCCACCTCCCCCGTTCTTGTAGCAGAGGTAGGGGAAGCGCCAGACGTTGCCGATGCCGATGCAGTTGCCCACGAGGGAGAGGATGAAGTCCACGTGGTTGGACCACGTGCCTCGTGCCTCCACGTGGGCCTTCTTCTCTTGGGCCGTCATCCCCCCCGCCTTCATCTCCCCCATCTCCACCGTCCCCCCTTCTGACTTGCCCACTTCCCCCGCCATCGCGACTTTTTATTTCAGTACCCCTTGAAAAATTTTCTTTTTACAATCGGGGACAATTTTCTATCGGATTTTTAGGGGAAACAACGCTACGTATTTCGGTCGTTAGGAAAAATAGGGGAAATTTGAACAAAAAATGTACCGATTTGTTAGTGATTCCTGCACTAGTGAATAAAATTTGTGATGAACTTTATCAGGATAACTATAGCAAATATATAAAATGAACGTCAAAATAACTTCAATTCAAATAATTCAAAAATAGAAAGTGCGAAAATCTGCAAACGTGCACAGCAGTACAGTGCACAGCAGTACAGTGCACAGCAGTGCAGTGCACAGCAGTACAGTGCACAGCAGTACAGTGCACAGCAGTACAGTGCACAGCAGTACAGTGCACAGCAGTACAGTGCACAGCACCACAGTTCTGGCAGCACAGCACTGCAGCTGTCGCTCGTTTAAGTGTCGTCGCCTGGGAGCTTCGTGCTGTGCTTGTTTGCGTAACTAGTTACGAGCGGTATCTGCTTACGTGTTACTAGTTACATGTTACTAGTTACGAGGGCTATCTAGTTACGTGTTACTAGTTACATGTTACTAGGCACATGTTACTAGTTACATGTTACTAGTTATGAGGTCTGTCTGGTTACATGTTACTAGGCACATGTTACTAGTTACGAGGTCTGTCTGGTTACATGTTACTAGGTACAGGTTACTAGTTACATGTTACTAGTTACATGTTACTAGTTACGAGGGCTGTATGGTTACGTGTTACTAATTACATGTTACTAGGTACATGTTACTAGTTACATGTTACTAGTTACGAGGGCGTCTGGTTACATGTTACTAGGTACAGGTTACTAGTTACATGTTACTAGTTACATGTTACTAGTTACGAGGGCTGTATGGTTACGTGTTACTAATTACATGTTACTAGGTACATGTTACTAGTTACATGTTACTAGTTACGAGGGCCATCTGGTTACGTGTTACTGGTTACGTGCTACTATTTACGATGGCTATCTAGTTACGTGTTACTAGTTACGAGGGTTATCTGGTGACGTGTTACTAGTTACATGTTACTAGTTACGAGTGGTATCTGGTTACATGTTACTAGTTACGTGTTACTAGTTACGAGGGCTGTCTGGTTACGTGTTACTGGTTACGAGGACTATCTAATTACGTGCTAGTTACATGTTACTAGTTATGAGGGCTATCTGGTTACATGTTACTAGTTACAAAAAGCTTCTACTTACTAGTTACGTGTTACTAGTCACGAGGAATATCTGGTTACGTGTTACTAGTTACGTGTTAATAGTTACGTGTTACTAGTTACGTGTTACTAGTTACATGTTACTAGTTACGAGGGCTATCTTGTTATATGTTACTAGTTACAAAAAGCTTCTACTTACTAGTCACATGTTACTAGTTACGAGGGCTACCTAGTTACGTGCAAGTTACGTGTAACTAGTTACGAGTGCTCTCCTGTTACGTGTTATTAGTTACGAGGGCTATCTAATTACGTGCTAGTTACATGTTACTAGTTACGAGGGCTATCTAGTTACGTGCTAGTTACGTGTAACTAGTAACGAGTGACCTCTGGTTACGTGTTACTAGTAGCGTGTTACTAGTTACGAAGGCTATCTAGTTACGTGCTAAATACGTGTAACTAGTTACGAGGGCTATCTAGTTACGTGCTAGTTATATGTTACTAGTTACGAGCTATCTAGTTTCATGCTAGTTACATGTCACTAGTTACGAGGGCTATCTGGTTATGTGTTACTGGTTACGAGGGCTATCTGGTTACGTACTAGTTACATGTTACTAGTTACATGTTAATAGTTACATGTAACGAGTTACGACATATTGCTAGCTTTGGTATGCTTCTTGTTACGACGGCAAACTAGTTACAGCAGCAAACTAGTTACAGTAGCAAACTAGTTACAGCAGCAAACTAGTTACAGTAGCAAACTAATAACAGCAGCAAACTAGTTACAGCAGCAAACTAGTTATAGCAGCAATCTAGTTACAGCAGCAAACTAGTTACAGCAGCAAACTAGTTACAGAAACTAGTTACAGCGGCAAACTAGTTACGACGGCAAACTAGTTACAGCGGCAAACTAGTTTTAGCGTCAAACTAGTTACAGCAGCAAACTAGTTACGGCGGGAAACTAGTTACAGCAGCAAACTAGTTACAGCAGTAAACTAGTTACAGCAGCAAACTAGTTACAGCGGCAAACTAGTTACAGCGGCAAACTAGTTACAGCGGCAAACTAGTTACAGCAGCAAACTAGTTACAGAATAACTAGTTACGGTGGCAAACTAGTTACAGCGGCAAACTAGTTACAGCGGCAAACTAGTTAAGTTACTATTCAGTTACGAAGGACATTCAGTAACGATGGACATTCAGTTAAGACGGACATTCGGTTACGATGGACATTCAGTTACGATGGACATTCAGTTACGATGGACATTCAGTTGCGACGGACATTCAGTTACGGCAGACATTCAGTTACGACGGACATTCAGTTACGATGGACATTCAGTTACGATGGACATTCAGTTACGACGGACATTCAGTTACGATGGACATTCAGTCACGATGGACATTCAGTTAGGATGGACATTCAGTTACGACGGACATTCAGTTACGATGGATATTTAGTTACGATGGACATTCAGTTAACACGGACATTCAGTTACGATGGACATTCAGTTACGATGGACATTCAGTTGCGACGGACATTCAGTTACGATGGACATTCAGTTACGACGGACATTCAGTAACGATAAACATTCAGTCTTCATTTATTAACAATTTCATTCATAAAAAGCAAATATACAAATCAAAATCCGCTGCAAAACACAATATATAAATTCACAAGAAAATACATTGAAACAAATGAATTTATATATGCGGTACTCATCGTATATCTTTTCCCTCGCGACATCATTGCTTTATCGAATTAAATTGCTTAAATAAAGATGAAATTCACGTGAAAAAATAGAATGTATTGTATTTTTATGCATAGTAAATATTAATGGATAACCGCGGCGGAATATAGTAATTTCTTCAGGGATAGAACGGGTCCAGGAGCGCGACACACAACCTGCCTGCACGAGTGTCAGCGACACACTGAGCTTAAACTGTCTTAACGAGGCGGCTTCCTGAGGGGAACTGGCTGATGAGGGTAGCCCGCCCTCTGCGCCCAGCCACGTGGCGGAAGACCTCAGCCACCGGGGCTTGGTTGGACAGGCATATGGCTGAATTAATGGAATGTGTGCACAGCCATATGGCTGAATTAATGGAATGTGTGCACAGCCATATGGCTGCATATGGCTCTGACATATGAAAGTACATACATATATATGTTCTTTCAAGCAGGTTTCATTGAAGACCAAAGAATTTGTTTTATTCGCAATTTTCTTATTAGTTTTTTTGATATATCGAACAATATTTTTAGTTTGAACTGGCAAATCGAAAATCAGGCTATCGATTGACATTTTTATTTCGTTAACGACGTTTCGAATGTTTCTATCATTTATTATCAAGTTAAAAGGCGCATTGAGTAATGGAATGAAAACTGCGAATAAAACAAATTCTCTGGTCTTCAATGAAACCTGCTTGAAAGAAGAAATTCTGCCAACCTATACTAATATATATATTTTAGATGGCAGAATTTGTTGATTTATACGCGTGCGATTAACGACCAGAGAAATAGTTGATTTAAATTATCAAAGAGTCGGACAATTCTTCAGATGACGTTGGTAGATCGAAAGGAATATATCAGGAATACCCTCACCCCATATCCTCACCCTACCCTCACCATACCCTCACCCCATACCTTCACTCTACCCTCACCCTCCTCACCCTACTCTCACCCCATACCCTCACGCCATACCCTCGCCCCATACCCTCACCCCATATCCTCACCCTACCCTCACCATACCCTCACCCCATACCTTCACTCTACCCTCACCCTACCCTCACCGTACCCTCACCCCCTACCCTCACCCTACCCTCACCCCATACCCTCACGCTACCCTCACTTTAGCTTCATTTCACGCCGGTCATTATTTAACGCTCATGAGCCTCTCAATGACTCCCATGCTCTACCCCGGCCGTGAACTGCACGGAGGACTTCATTAATTCTGTCAATTGCCGTTTCGGTCACCGTTGTTGCTGTTGTTATTGCTGTTGTTGCTGTTGTTGTTGTTGTTGTTGCTGTTGTTGCTGTTGTTGTTGTGGTTGCTGTTGTTGTTGTGGTTGCTGTTGTTATTGTTGTTGTTGCTGTAGTTGCTGTTGTTATTGTTGTTGTAGTTGTTGTTGTTGTTGCTGTTGTTGTTGTGGTTGCTGTTGTTGTTGTTGTTGTTCTTGTTGTCGCTGTTGTTGTTGTTGCTGTAGTTGCTGTTGTTAGTGTTGCTGTTATAGCTGTTGTTGCTGTTGCTGTTGTTGCTGTTGTTGCTGTTGTTGCTGTAGTTGTTGCTGTTGTTGCTGTAGTTGTTGCTGTTGTTGTTGTTGCTGTTGTTGCTGTTGTTGCTGTTGCCGTTTCAATCGTCGTTTCGGTCACCGTTGTTGCTGTTGTTGTTGCTATAGCTGTTGTTGTTGTTGTTGTTGTTGTCGCTGTTGTTGCTGTTGTTGCTGTTGTTGTTGCTATAGCTGCTGTTGTTGTTGTTGTTGTTGTCGCTGTTGTTGCTGATGTAGTTGTTGATGTCGCTGTTGTTGTTGCTGTTGTTGCTGTTGTTGTTGTTGTTGTAGCTGTTATTGCTGTTGTTAGTGTTGCTGTAGTTGTTGCTGTTGTTGCTGCTGTTGTTGCTGTTGTTGTCGCTGTTGTTGTTGCTGTTGTTGCTGTTGTTGTTGTTGCTGTTGTAGTTGTTGTTGTCGCTGTTGTTGTTGTCGTTGTAGTTGATGTTGTAGCCGCGCCTCATGCGTCTCTAATCTTTGTATGGCGAT